CTGTCACTTTTAATGGATGCAAAGGTGACTGATGGATAATTTGAGGGTTTTCCATTGCTCAGAACCGACTATTCTGTTTATTCACATATCCATTCAAATGAAAATGTGCCTCGTCACTCATTATGATTTTTTCATGAAAATCGGGGTTGTCATGGGCGAGCTGTAACATCCTATTGGCATATGTACGGCGGCGTAAATGGTCTTCTGGAAGAAGCTCTTGTGTCAACTGAATCTTAAATGGAAACAAATGCAAATCCTTGTGCAAAATTGTGGCCAAAGTTGTTCTTGAAGACCAAGCTCCTGAGCACGGCGTCGAATTGAGGTTGATGAATTGTCTTCTACACTTTCTTGAGCAGCAGTAATGTTTTCAGCCGATCTTGCAGTACGTTGTGGTCCATGCTTGGGCCTATCAGCTACAGTCTCTCTTTCTTCGAAATCATGCACTACACGATAAATAGTGCGTCTTGTTGGCACGTTGTTTCTCCCAAAAATTTCACGTAACTTTCTCATGATCACAGTAATCGATGATTGATTTTGATAAAATGTTTTAACGATTAAAACACATTGGTTTACCGAATATTTTTCCATAATAAATGTAGAAAAGATTGGGGTATACTCGAAACCCTTCGAATGTACTCGGTCAAGGGCTCGGATCGATCGATCGACCGAAGCAGATGTGAGATGAGGGAAGATGTGGAGAGGCAGAAGTTAGAAGACGATTTAACAGTAAAGACGTATTGTGTTGAAATTAGTTAATCAAATGAGTTTAAATGTTAATAGAAATAATAAATTAATTAAGAACTAGTGGGGTTTTGGTGAATTATTCAAGCGGAACCCTACATAAATTTGCCACGTCTCTACTTCACGACTGCCAAATATAAACTGTCAAGACTAATGTTTACCAAAATGGCGGCAGAACAAAGTAGTATACCTTCCCGGCGGACAGCCGGTATTATTAACATGAAATACATACTCTGGCGCTGCGAGCGCCCATCCACTAAGATTTATATGGCAATTAAGACATAAAAAACTTGGTGTCAATTGTTCTTGAAGATTTTCAGTTGCTATTTCAAAATATTGGAGATAATTTACTTGTACCGAATTAGTAAATTTACGCATGTTTTTCTTGACGACATTCACCACACACATAACAGAAATTAAGGGGGTCGTTTTCACATTCAAAAACTCGTTGTCTTTTACACATTTTATAATCAAGTATATAAATAAATTATATTACACGATACAATTTGTGAACAACTGTTTAACGCTGAATATGGAACTCGAATGAATAACTCTAGCAATCTTACTCTCCACGAAACCTTCCGTTATGGCACAGTGGGGTTTTTTATGATGCTCCCTTTTCCAAGAGAAATGTATTTATTTTAATATTGTTCAAGTAGGTAAAAAAAGATGGGACAAACCTGTATCCGAAGATCCTTTGTTCTAAAACCGATAATTTTCCAAGAATAATAAAATGCACTGGTACCTCAAATATCCTTTTTCAGCTAAACTGAATTCACTAAGTAAAACGGCAATATACGTTAGGAATACCGAAAAATATAGAAACAGGAAAAACCTGGGCATCTTCCTATTGTAAAAGCATCTTCCAAGGCGTTTGAGTGAATTTTGTATTGCGATTTTTTATTAAAAAAACTGTTTTTCAATTCAAATATCCAATAAAAAATGCAGCATTCCGTTTAAAATAACGAAGTTGTAGGTTACTTCCGCTACACTGGATATGGCAGCCATTTTGAAATTATTTTAAATCGAAAGATTGCATGGGATGAATAGCTCCTACACGTAAAATCTCAGAAACGTACGAAACAGGTGTCCCATATTTTGATGTCCGCATAGGCTATCACCGAAACTAAAAGAGATAGAAAAAAAGTAGCTTACATGTCATGATCTCGTTTTTCGAGAAACTGCTAATACCGAAAACTTCGAACAGTTATCGTCTTTTGTTTTCGCCCTATCGGCAAAAACTGAAAATTTTGCGAAAACGACAATCGCGAATATCTCACTTATTATCAAAGATGGAGTATTATAAATAAAACATTATATGGGCAACTTTTTACGAAGAATTCAGTGGCGTAGGTAGAATTTTTTTCCCATCTTTTATTTTCGAGATTTTAGACGTAACTTTATTTTTTTAAATGGAAACCATAGTTGGCTATGACTTAAAATAATTTGTTATTTTCTTCTGATAACAAATATATATAGTTTGTGGGGTATATTTCTTATAGTTATTGAATAATTAACAAAAATTCATTTTGTTCTATCTAAAACTAATGTATGTATTTAAAAGTTAATGTTGCTATGGTGATAACCATACATACTATGATGGAACATAATGTATCAATTTTTTTTGTTCTTTCTAAAACTATTGTATGTATTTAAAACTTAATGTTGTTATGGTGATAACAATGCCACGATGGAAAACATTGGGTACGTTCAGCAGGTGTCAACAGTTGAATTAAATCAGTCAGCTAGTTGTATGAGCTTTAATACAGCGGAACGAAATCGGCTGAACAAGCAATTGAGAATTAGCAGTTCAGCATAACCTAAAACTATGGCCAACAATAATATTTTTGAAAATTTTGTGTTATTACAAGAGATAATGGATGATGATGTTGATTTTAAGGCTCATTTCATTTTATACAGTTCTGCCAGTTTTCAAAATTAAAGGGGAGAAACAAAAAATATTAATCCTAACCTAGAATTTCACAACCGCTGACAAACTAAGCGCAGATTACTTACGCTGAGATATTTACTAAACTGCTGCGTAACAGCGCTGACTTAGCATATCGTTCAGCCGCGACTGCTAATATAGCAACTTAACAGTTGACACCGGCTGAACGTGCCCATTGTTTCCAATTATTGCCAAAGTTTGTAGTAGTATTTAAAAATTCACTAACAACTCTGGCATTATGTGCTGGTGCTCCGTCATATTGAAAATATATCATTTGAGACTTATTTAATGGCAAATTGTCGACCAAAGGCACAATATGCTGCCTTGATATATTGAGGTATTACCTGAGTTTAAGTTTTTATGGTAGATACTATATGCCAACATTCTATTATCTAAAAGGGCATACCATACATTGAACCCCAACCTTCTTCGAACACTCAGAGACTTCATTGGTCCAGATGACATTTTGAACAAACAGCAGATTATTTAATTTTTCTAAATATCATCTACAAAATTCTAATCTTGGATTGACATCTCCGGCACGTAAATAATGAGTCAGCACCGCTTTGTATGGTTTACACATAATTTTATTTCATATTCTGGAGCAGCGGCTTTTGGGTCAGACGTCTTGTTCAATTTCTCTGCACGATGTTGATGGATTTATCGCAACTGAAGCCAACACATTGACTTCATCCTCTTGCAGGCCATTTTGGTATGTTTTTGCACGTGGTTTGGGGAAGGACCCAAAATCTATTAAATTTTCTGCTAACCGGCTGAAGGTTCTTACGTGCGGTTGTCTTCTTTCCGGATACCTTGTGAAATATAATTCCGCGGCTAACGTCGCATTCTTATCTGATAACATATAGCATTCCATTATGTTACATTTTTCATAATTTTCGAAATTCATTGTAAAGTTTTATTCAGTTTTGTTATACTTTGACACCTAACATGCTGGTGCATCGTACCAGCTCATAATGCCAGAGTTGTTATCGAATTTTTAAATACAAACTTTGGCAGTTATTTGATACATTATGTTCCATCATAGTATGTATGGTTATCACCATAGCAACATTAACTTTTAAATACATACATTAGTTTTAGATAGAACAAAATGAATTTTTATTAATTATTCAATAACTATAAGAAATATACCCTACAAACTATATATATTTGTGATCAGAAGAAAATAACAAATTATTTTAGGTCATAGACAACTATGGTTTCCATTTAAAAAAATAAAGTTACGTCTACAATCTCGAAAATAAAAGGTGGGAAAAAAATTCTACCTACCCCACTGAATTCTTCGTAAAAAGTTGCCCATATAATGTTTTATTTATAATACTCCCTCTTTGATAATAAGTGAGATATTCGAAAATTTTTAGTTTTTGCCGATAGGGCGAAAACAAAAGACGATAGCTGTTCGGAGTTTTCGGCATTAGCATTTACTCGAAAAACGAGATCATGACATGTAAGCTACTTTTTTTCTATCTCTTTTAGTTTCGGAGATAGCCTATGTGGACATCGTAATTGGGACATCCTGTACAAGAAAAAGCTGTGCTCTCACATATAGAAGATCACAATTTTTGGTAATTTCTCCACCGATTCTCATCCTGCGTACCTTGTTGTCTTCTAAAAAGAGCAAACTTTACGTAGAAGGAATAAAGAATTTTTCTGCGACTCTCCACGGATATTGAATGAATTTTGGTTCACATTTTGTCTAAAAAAATCCCTTTTTCACATATTATGGGCCATTGTTTTAAAACTACCGAACCGATTGGAATAAGTATTAATACCATTGATTAGCTATACAATACTCTTTAATTTGATGAATAGCACGACCAGATCGGTCATCTCTAACTCGAGATATGCTGCAATCATAGCTCCAAAACGTATCCATAGAAAAAATTTTAAATGTGATTTTTGGGTTTAGGGGACCAAACTACACAGCTAGATCGACCAGTAAATTAGTTTATATGAAAATTAGTTAAAATTTGTCTCTTTGGATTTGCATCTGTCTTAAAAACTTAGAAATCTTTTTGTTTTTTTATCTCTTTTTTGTACATATATTTTGTGCTATATTATTGAACTAAATAAATTGAAATTACAACTAATATCATAGTGCAATCATTGAATTTACGATTTCTAAGCAGACACTGATTTCGTATATTATCAAAAGACTCGTTTGAACTGTACATTTTTTAATTCAAAAAACAGCTTTTAATTGTTCAACATTTGGAAGCATTTTTGAGGCACAAAATTAAAAGCATATTCAAAGAAATATTATGTACAAAAATATTTATTGTGTCACAGGTTTTACATAAATACTAATAATAAAAAATATGTTACAACTTAAATCTACAATTTATAAATACGTAGTCATCTTCTGCTTTTGGTATATACAGTTTTCATAAAAAAGAGCGCATTTTAGCAAGTCAACGATGATTTTAGCCACTGGAGAAAAAATAATTATTAAAAAAAAGCTCCAACACTTTCTCACAACATACCTCTGCCAAACTCAATTTAATATTACCATTTTGTAAAGGATCCTTAGTTTCAAATATACCTAAAAACATTTTTAATTATTATCAGAAAATAATGAACGATTCAAAAACTTACTAAATGATACTGTAAGATGAAGTATTGCAGATACAAAATCACCAAAACGTAAAGTGCCATCTTTTCTCATATATCGCAATATTAAAATAGCTAAAACGTCACTGCTTAATTGAAATCCGACTTCGAGTAATGCGTCTCGTAAACGTTCTGCTTTCAAGATTCCTGTTTTTTCTTTCGTATGACTTTTAAAAGCTGTCTGCCAATGTTTAAGACTACACATAAGATCTTTAAAATCGCTAAATTTTAATCGACCAGTACCAGTTGTCTAAAATAGAATTTAGTTTGTCAAAAGACAAAAAAGCAACAGTTGACTTACATCGAGTGTTAAAACGACTTGTCTGCAAACTTCAATTGAAGCACAACTTTTAATATAATCATTTGGGAGACAGGCGTCTAATAATTCTTGTAATTCAAAAGCGTTTACAGTTCGATGTTCATCTGCTAATTGTAGAAAAACAGCTTCGTATTGGCTAAAACTTTTCCCGTCTAATAATGGTGGTGCTTTAACTATTGCAGATTTAACAAGATAAGGTGGTGTATCCAAAAGTTTTAATTTTAACGGTTTACTCGAATAAACGCGAAGTGTAAACCCTGATTCTTGGCCAGGTTCGAAAGTTGTAGGAAGAATTAAATATCCACCTTGTTCTAATTGACATCGATGACTTACTTGTCTACTGTTTGTGTATTGCGAGTTAATAAGTGATTTATTTTTCTTAAAAAATAATTTTCCGATAGATTCAGTCGTACTTTTTGGTAAAGAATAAGCAGTGAACCCGATTACTTTAGGTTCCATTATACTATGTTGATTCAATGAAACGATAACTTCCTCCATTTCACTTAACAATAATTGTAATTGAGGGTTTATATGAAACGTATCCGGATTATTTCTACATCCACCACCAGAAACTCCTTTTTGCCAATTTCCTTGATACAATCTCATTTGCCACGTGTTTTTATTATGAAGACTTGGTTCATCTCGACTTGTATCGCTATCTAAGTGGACAACTTCTAAATTTGTAAACGTTTTTATGAAATCAGCGTAAGCAACCCAAAATTCATCTTCTGTTAGCTTAGCTTGAACACGTTCTTGTTCTAATGGATTTACATCTGACCATTCTGTTGAATCTAAAGACCAAGATCCTGTATACTCATTTGAAGTACCTAAAGGATTTCTTAGTTTTATTAACTGAACTGCTTCTCCACTAAATTTTTCCACCTAAAAAAATAAATGGTTTTATCTTTACGGTGATTTAGTAAAATGTTAATTGTACACGATATTAATTAATTTTCAACCCAACCCAACCATTTTAAAGAATTCTAGAACAATGATCATAAAAATACGTCAATTTATATGATTTTTATATTTTTCAACGATTCGATATTTAATTGTTAGTTAATTATGTATTTATTTGCGAACGGTTTTGGATTTTAATTGATCTTACAGTCAGACTTTAAACAATTTTTTTTTGTTTATTCTTGATTTGGGGTGATTTCTGATAATTTTTAATAATTCTAAACTAGAAATTAAGCTTAAACTACAAACTTGCACGTCTTCTAAAAGAGTGACTTAAAAAATCAGTCTGTTTTGAACTTGTTTCTATAGAAAGTTCCAACATAACACCAGAAACATTAAATACTGTTATCATAGATGCACGGCATGACCTGTAAGTTTCCAGATTTAGATTCATTTTTTTAACAACAGAAGAGCTTTCGAAATAACTACTTTTAATGAATACAAAGATTTCAAGTTCTTTCATATGACTACAAGTGATCACAATCTGTGACGACATTAAATACTGCTGTAATAGATGCAATTTCGCCTGAGATGGTCAGTGGGCGGATTGAGTAACTCACTAGTTATCACTGCCGGTCTCAAGGCCAAATAAAGGAGGAACAATGAACGGAATAGATTAGGTTAGTTCCTGCTTATAGGAAACCGTAATTTGGTTCAAGGTACTGAAAGAAACGCGGTTCAAATTATGGATGGATTACAAATATTATGAAAAATGCTATGATAAGGGATAATGACAGAAAAAGCGAAAGCGTGGTGCCTAGCCTGTTCGAATACAACGTTTTTGAACGGAGGGGAACAAGAAATTACGATCAAAATGAGAAACCATAACATCGATATATGTGCAATCTCCAAAACTTAGAAAAAAAGACAGGGGACATCGACATATGAAAATTATTCAGTGATATACAGCGAAAAATCTAAGCAAGAAAGAGCCTAATCCAGAGTCGGACATCTGCTGCACAAGTCGCAGCAGTCAGAGAGGAAGAGCGTGCGGGGATATTATAACAGGAATAGCGAGAGGAATTACGGAGGAGAGTAAGACGGAGGGGAGATGGAGGCAGAAGGGAACAGTAAAAAGGCAGATCAGCTGGGGGAGAGAGATGGTGCAGATAGTTACTGTGTATAGCAAGTCAATGAAAGAGACGAGAAAGCAATGGGATGAGATGGCGGGGGATGGGACGGAGGGATACATAATAATGGAAGGGGATTTCAATGCTAGAGTGGGCGAGGAGGGGGGATATGGGGAGAAGAGGGACGAAGGCGGTCGAAGGATACTGTGCGGAGTGGAGAAGGAACAGAAATACTGAGATGGGTGGAGGAGAACGGATGGGAGATACTGAATAGGAATAAAGAGAAAGGAGAGGAAGGGGAGTATACTTACATCGGGGCGAGGGGACATCTGTGATTGATTATGTACTGGTGGATTAGGAAATGTGGGAGAGGGTGGAAAGGTTTAAAGTGGGAGAAGCGGTAGAGTCGGATCACCAACCGTTGGAGGTGGAGGTAAAGGGGGTGGACGGCAGAAGGCGAGCGGAACTGGGGAGCAAGTTCATCAGGACAGACTGATCGGAAGAAGGGGTAGCATTCTACAGGGGAAACCTCGACACTTGGCAACAGAAGATACAAGACATCAATGGTTTGCAAGAAGTTATCTAGGTAGTGCGGGAGGCAACACTGAAAAGGGAGTGTGTACGGGGGGGGGGGGCAGAGTAGGGAGGAACGACTGGTATGATGGCGAGTGCAAGAAGGCGAAGAGGGAGGCGAGAAGGAGGTTGAGGTAGTGGAGACGGGGGAACATAGGGGTGGATAGATATAGGGAGGCCAGGAGAGGATACAGAGAGTTATGCAGTAGAAAGAAAACAGAACTGAGGGAGAAGGAGGCGGCAGAGATTAGAGGTATAACAAGGGAAGGGGAGGTCTGGAGGTATCTGAAAAAGAGAAAGAAGGGTAGGGAGAGGATAACCAGCGAAATACATATGACAGAATGGAAGAGTTACTTTATGGGATTATGGGGAGGGGTTGAAACGAGGCTAACGGGTTTGGGAGGCTATGAGGGAGATGGGGGAGAGGAGATAGCAGAAGAGGAGATGGAAGCAGTGCTTAGGGGATTGAAGAAGGGAAAGGCGCCAGGAGAAGATGCGATCCAGAACGAAGCATGGTTGGAAGCATCAAGGGTGGTGAGAGTGAAGTTGTTGGAGGGGATGAATAGCGTATGGAGAGGGGGTGGGATTCCGGAGGGATGGAAAGTGGGGGTAATTTGCCCAGTATATAAAAAAGGTAATAAAGGAAGGGTAGAGAGCTACAGGGGAATTAACCTACTAGACTCGGCATACAAGGTATACACGAAGCTACTGCTGGGTAGACTGGAGGAGGAGATGGAATTGGGGGACTTTTGCCGGATGGGCAGGCAGGCTTTCGGAAGGGAAGGGGAGCAATCGACAACGTGTACGTGTTGAAGCATCTGGCAGATAGAGAGCTGGATAAGAAGGGAGGGAAATTGTACGCCCTGTTTATAGATTTGAAGGCGGCTTTCGATAAGGTGGATAGGGGAAAATTGTTGGAGGAGATGGGGAGGAGGGGGATCACGAAACACCTAATTGCGAGAGTGAAGGAAATATACATGGAGACTATGGCTAGGATAAAAGTGGGAGATAAGCTGAGCGACGTGTTCTGGACGACGAAGGGACTGAGGCAGGGATGTCTGCTGAGCCCAAGTCTGTTTGCACTGTATACGGCGGACCTGGAGGATAGATTGGGGAAGGGACAAATGGGAGGGTTGGTGGTGGGACGTAGAAAGGTGCATATGTTAGCATACGCGGATGACATCGTGGTCATGACGAGAGAAGCGGCTGAGATGAAGGATATGATAAAGACATTGGAAAGATATTTTAGGGGGAAGGGGCTGGAAGTGAATGTGGGGAAGACAAGGAAAATGAAGTTTTGTAAGGGTGGGAGAAAAAGAATAGAAAACTGGAGATGGGAGGGAAAAGAGATCGAGGAGGTTAGGAAGTATACTTACTTGGGGTATGTGTTTAGGGAGGACAGCAGGGAGGGGTCGCATGTAATAGCTATGACAAAAAAGGCGAATAAGGTGATGGGACAAGNGGCCAAATAAAGGAGGAACAATGAACGGAATAGATTAGGTTAGTTCCTGCTTATAGGAAACCGTAATTTGGTTCAAGGTACTGAATGAAACGCGGTTCAAATTATGGATGGATTACAAATATTATGAAAAATGCTATGATAAGGGATAATGAGAGAAAAATCGAAGCAAGAAAAAGCCCAATCCAGTGTTGGACATCTGCTGCACAAGTATTTGTAAAACATTACATTACAGACATCCAATATACATACATAGAGAAATTAAACAGTAATAACACTACTAACGTAAGGGCTGAAGGACAACTAACTGGACATATCACACCAGGTGTCATCGTACAAGGCGATTGTCCCAGCCCACTTTGTTTATCTTCTTAATGGACAAAATAATCGAGAAAGTGATAACTTCAAACGCAGAATATAAACTTGGCCAAACGAAAATCTGCTTAGTATGCTACGCTGAAAACTTCATAGGTTCTATTAAGCGAGCTAAGCAACAACACCTCCATCGATCACGCAAAAGTCCTGAGAAGTCAAATCAACAAAGTGTCCGCAATTATGGCTGCCTACGGGATACTGTTTGGTCTAACAAATCCATCCGTGTGTATAGTAAAGTGCGGATATACAGCGTGTCCCGTATCTTCCGCATCAGAGCATTATACGGTTGTAGAATACATTATTCTGAAGCGATCTTTCTAATAAAATTTTTTCGAAATGTTTATAATAACCGCACGGGAACTGTTTAACGACGACCAATAACGGACAACTTTGATTCATCGAAAAAGTTTATTTCTCTTTCCATGACGAATTTATTGGTGAGTACACGTGCGCGGACCGGCCGAGGGTGGCACCGATTACCTGAGTCTGATTTGCGATCTGCTGATTGGACGAAAAACAGTTCATTTAAACAGTTCCCGTGCGGTTATTATAAACATTTCGAAAAAAATTTATTAGAAAGATCGCTTCAGAATAATGTATCCTACAACCGTATAATGCTCTGATGCGGAAGATACGGGACACGCTGTATAGGATATGCATTCGCCCAATCGAGGACAATCTCAGGAAAGACTAGATGGGAGAGAATTAAGAACTTCGACACAAGAGACCAATGCGGGGATCAGAACATTGTGAGATGAGGAAGGCAGCTTAAAAGAAAATTACGTTAAGTTTAGTTGGCCAAATTTATTTGTAATTCTGCAATAAAAGACTAAATGTTTTAAATAATTTACGTAATAATAAGAATTAAAATAACTATAAGACCCACTTTTAACACCTCCTGATAAATTGATCCGACAGATAAATCCAACTATTAAACACTGAGAGCGCTTAGCCATGGTAACAATGTTGAAGTAATTCAGATGATTTTTGAATTCATACTGATAATATTTGGTAGATTGTATTAAACTTTACATTTCAGGTATTTATATTGGCAGAAATCCATTTTAGTCATATTGAATGAGCTCGGCGATGAGCTTGCGCTGTAGATATGATGCAATATTTCGCAGACTTGAATGTATACATGCTTGTTCTGACCAAAATAAGACGACAACTTGATGCAGTGACAATGTAGCCATTATACGGAGTTGTTCTGATTTAATTTTGATAGAAACTTGATGCAAACTTGATACAGTTGTAAAATAGAGGTGACAGAGGCAAAATGTATTTACACTCTTAGATAAATTTAACGTTGACACATTAGATACTTGATGTAGTCTTGATGCAGCCTGGATAGCGAGTTAACATTCACCGAAACATGGCTTAATGTAGCGGTGAGGTACACTTTATACGCACTTCTCTCGCTGGAGAGTTCGCTCATGCATGATAGACATCTTACTATACGACGATTTTATGTCGTTTTGAAAGCATCTTGTAACAGTTGTAAATGTGGACCAAATAGAGATATGAAGCATCTTACTTAGATAATTGATTAGATTTTGAGTGTGGACTGATTGACAGGTGATGAGAACTTTATCTGGAGTTGTTTGGATGCAGACCTATTGAACACTTCATATGGACATGATAAAAATTAAACGGATATTTGATCGAGGCAACATGCATTTATCAAGTCAGATACACAGTAGTGATTTAATGAAGATTTCAATAACTTGATGCAGGTGTAAAAGGACTGTTTGGAGATTTCATACGGATTTGAAAATGTTTTTTTGCTACCCCTACATGCTATTTTGATGCAAACCCGATAGTGATATGATGTAGTCTTGGTGATGTATATTTAGTGGAATATTAACACTGTACAGAGCTTATTGAATTTATCAAGTCGGGAAACACAATCGAAATTTGATACAAACTGTTTAGGGACTACAATCTTGAAGGAGTATTGATTGCGTCTATAAATGTAGATTCGATAAAAATATGATACAGCCTTAATGCAGTCTTGATGGACACTTTGTCCAAATATAACTTAAAGAAACATGGTGATAACTTGATGCACAGATAATGTTAATGATATTACACAGAATTGTATCTATGTAAACTTAATAGGGACTGTACGCAGACATTATAGAGATTTTGATTTGCTATAATATATCAATATATATTGTAATATACTATAATATATATTATAATTATACCCACATCAAGTTGGAGGAATAATGGCGAATTCAAAACTGTAATGCAGATTAAATGGGGACTGTATGGAGATTTTGTGCAAGTTTAAAAGAGTCGCATTAAGACACAGCATTTGCCTTATTTAACAGATTTTTTTAATTTAAATCGCAATCTATTTAAAATTAAGTTAATTATTGTTTAATTTTTTATATTTTAAACAGTAACTACTTTTTATCATATCAAAATGCTTTAATGATTTACTTACTCTTTCCACTGCATAAATTCGATAGTTTGTTCCTATTTGTATACCATTAGCTAATTTTTCAACATGAGCTCGTACTTGATAATTTGGTGGTTGAACTGTTGCAGTAATTATAGAGGTCATATCCAGTAATTTGTGTAAAAGACGAGCACACGCCGTGATATCCTGTTTGATTTGTATACTTTCGGTGATACCTCCTGTTAAATCAGCGAGTCCATCCAGTAAAGAACCGTATTTTAAAGCTTCGTAAGATCCATGTAATCTATAAAGGAATAAAAAAACGTTTACCTATCTGCAATGGACACAATTATTTTAATTAAACCGAGTTGTATTTGTAACCTTTTTGATGTGACCGACGACAGGATGTCGTCACGTAAATGGAAGAATTTAAACTGAAGAAGATACCTCTTGATGAGAGTTAAAGTTCTTCGAGTTTGTTCATTATTGCAAATTGGCGTGGACGGTTTATTTAGAAGGCAAAGAACGTTTATTATTTGCAATCGTGAATTTAAATCTATTTTACGTTTTACGGGTATGCGTGGAATATTTATGAAATTACAAGAATTACGTATTAACTTAAGGGTCACTGACTGAATATGTAAGTTTTGTAAAAAGCGGTGTTGATATAACATTTTTTTTATCGATGAAAGTTAGTTCATGCTCTTTTACTGAGGAAATAACGGGTATTTCAACCACTATCAAAGATATTTTCGGTTCGGTTACGTTGGAACAATAGGAGATACGACGAAAACAGTTATGCTTAATCGTTTCATATCTTAACAACAACTCGAAATCTTTTTACGTGTTTTAGACACTTTTATCGGTATAAACATTATACTGAAATATATGGGTTAGGTATTTCCAACATACTTGAAATTTTAGTTTAATTTTTAGTATAAAAAATAAATAATATTAGTGAAGATTACAAGGTACTCGTACTAAAGAACATTAAGAACGAAGGATGTGCCCGTAAGCTTAAAATTTACTCTGACAGATTTACGATTGTAGTTAACGGCAAAAACGATTTGTTTACTGTGGGTGGCCAATGAGAAATAAATCCGGTAGTTAAGATGAAAAAAAGAATGATTCTTAATAAGTCATTGAAAAAATTACAATATGTTTTAAGTTTTATTATGCAAATTAAGAGATTATTTCTGGATTAATATAGATTGAAAAATTGTGAGTTAGAATAAAATAGAACGAATTAGCCAACATGTCTTATATAACGCTTTCATTTTTAATAACTTTTGAAGTTTTAATGGTGTCTATGTAATATTCCTTGTTTCTTGAGTTTTCACCATGATAAATTCGAATTTTTATTGGAGCAATTCATATCTTTTATTAATTGACTTATGGTCTATAAATGTTGGATCTAGTAAAGTAAATCTTTTGTTGAGTAAGTCGATTGCAAGTGATGCAGTTATGTTTCTAAACTTTTTTAATGTTAAAATAAAAAAATTGGCAACGCTTTCGATTCATCCCATATAAATTTAATCATATAGTTTTGTATTTCATGTTAGCTCTGTCCTTTTAATATATTTAGAATTTTTCTGGCAATGACGATCATTCAGTTTCTACCCATACTTTTGCTTCACTCTAGATTGTGGGAATCGTCCAGAAGAGTAACATTGGTTCCACATACATACCTATTCAGATCTCTCGACGCAACTATGGTAGAATGTGTTGGCGAACGACAATAGGTGGCGTGTAGAGACGAGATGTACGAACTAAAACAAGTCGGTGTTCCTTCTTCTTCCGATCATTCCTTCTTCTTCCGATGATGATCGGAAGAAGAAGGAAGTGTCGTGTGGACCAAATAATGTATAGCGTTTAGTTTAATCAGTTACATGTTCTTTTTTGTGTTCTGAGTAAAACCAATATATCTGTTACAAGAAAGCTGACTTTAATTTAACGAATAACAATTGCAGCGGTGAGATAAATATCTGAAATCAGTGTAAAACCTGTGGTAAAACGGTGAAGGGCGTACGTGCCGAGCGACGACGTGGCGAGACAACACATGTGTCGGGTTCGATTTTTATAAGAACAAAGGACGTTTATCAGGTGAACTTTATTTTTATTTTACGATGGAAAGTTTGTCAAATAATCCTACAATTAATGCTAATATTAAATCGGCACCCGCGCATGCAATCAAAGCCTTACATAGATTGATTTTTGAATACGATGGCGACCGAAGAAATCGACAAAGATTAAGAGAGTTTCAAGGGTTCTCATTTGACGAAGACTCCGATGATTTTAACAATAAATTAAAATACATCAAAGAGAACCTAACGCTGAAAGATCTGGTTGCATGTTGTTGTGTGTTACATGTCGATTTTGATAGTGTTACTGTCTACGAGATACCGAAGAAGGTTTGCATGACCTTGAGCGATTTGAATAAATTAGCGTTGAGTATGAAAGCTATCGAAGAACACGAAAAAGCAACAGCGGAGGTAAGAGTAATGAAGAGATGCAAGAAAACCATGATACTGATGACAACAATGGATACGACGATGACGGCACCGATGATGATGAAAATGTAGACGAAGTTGTGGTTCTAGGACTACACCAAAGACGACGAATAAGAAGAAAACTAAAACGTACGAAGATGATTTATGCATGACGACGAAGTTTATGATGACATTCAGGGATATCGAAGACACGATTCGACCCTTTGATGGCAAAGGTGATTGTGCGATAGACACCTGGATGGAAGAATTCGAAGAAAACGCTGTTTTATTGGAATGGACAGACGTGCAAAAATTTATTTATTGCAAGAAATTGCTAAGAGGAGTAGCAAAGCTATTTATCCAGAGTGAAAGAGGAGATGAGTTTGGCAAAAAATTCAACAGTGCTGAGTTGCACAAAATGCTGTGACAGAGACGAATGAAGAGTGATGAAACAGTGGGAGAGTACTTTTTGAAAATGCCGAGAACTAGGAAGTCGAGGAAATATAGAGAAAGATGCATTGTATCAATACATAATAGATGGGATAGAAGACGAATCAACAAACAAAACTGTTTTGTACGGAGCGAAAAACAATAGTGAATTTAAAGAAAAACTGGAGATTTACGACAAGATAAGGAAGCAGAAGCAAACAAGAACAAGCAGGCCGAGACAACATGAACAAAAAGATGACGAGACCAGGCCAAGAGAGAAACCAAAATGTTGTTATAACTGTGGTGAAAAAGGTCATTTTGCAGCTGAATGTAAATTCAAGGAGAAGTGCCTCAAATGCTTCAACTGCAAACAATTTGGACATAAAGCAAACGACTGTTCAAAGAAATCATCTACACTCACAAATGTGAAACAACCATCAGTAAAGAAAGTTGCAACTATGGAAGAGAAAAGTGAATATTACAAAGACGTGAACATAGATGGAAGGCAGACATTGGCATTCATCGACCTTGGAAGTGACGTTGTCACTATGAGAGAAGAGACAGCCATTGAGATCAACATACAGTATGTGCCACACCAGATTAAACTGAGAGGTTTCGGACAAGGAATGTGCGAATCTGTAGGAAAGAGAACATTGCTGTTAGAGATAGATGGAGTCAAAATCGAGGCGGTTGTTTTGATTGTACCAAATGAAGCGCAACAGGACTCGATGATAGTGGGACAGAGTGCATTGGATCAGCCAGGGATAAGAGTAACCAAAGAAAATAAGATGCTTACCATCGAAAATATTTCCAGAATAGAAAAAACAAGATGTCAGAACGAATATGTGAACATAAATTCGGACATAGGTTGTGACGAGATTCAAAGTGTTCGAGACTTGGTAAGTTCTTTTTGATTCAGTTTTCTCTACGAACTCCTGTGACATTGGCACCACTGACCTGGTAACTATGAACATTGATCTTACAAGTCAGGATGTAGTGCGGTGCAGACCATATAGACTACCATACGCGGAACGCGAGCGTGTGAAATCTATGATAGACGATCTTTTGAAAGCCGGCATCATTCGCGAATCAACATCGGAATATTCAAGCCCAGTGATTTTAGTTCCTAAAAAAGACGGTTCGCAAAGACTGTGTGTAGACTATAGACGCTTAAATGCCATAACGCGAAAATCACATGTGACGATGCCCTCGATTGACGAACAGTTAGACATGTTGGCGGGTAACAAATATTTCACTACATTAGACTTTATGAGTGGGTATTATCAGATTCCGATAAATGAACAATCTAAACATTTAACCGCGTTTGTGACGACCGAGGGACAATTCGAATTTAATAAAATGCCGTTTGGTTTGGTAAACGCACCAAATGTATTTAATACTCTTATGCAGCGTGTCGTGCAACGTAAATTGGACCGAACATTGTTTTAACATATATGGACGATATGCTAATACCGAGTGATACAGTAGCAGAGGGTATCGCGAAACTACGAAAAGTGTTGGGAGTATTGCGAGAGCTAGGCTTAACATTAAAACTCAGTAAATGTAAATTCCTGCATACGCGACTAGATTACCTGGGGTTTGAAATTGATAGTGAGGGTATACGGCCGGGTGAGCAAAAAACCCAAGCTGTAATGAATTTTGAGACACCGACGAATGTTTACGAAGTTAGACAATTCTTGGGATTATGCGGATTCTTTCGAAAGTTTGTACAAGGGTTCTCATTGATAGCCAATTTGTAGGTAATAATTGAATTGAACAGACTTAACTACGTTTTTTACTGCACCAAACTTAACTGCACCAAATGTTTATGTGCAGGTCGTTTAAAAGTAGAATAAACAGATTATCAGTAAAATATCAATAATTGATAGTAATAGTGACGAAATTTTTAAATCAACAAATAAAAACGATAGAGCATGCTTAGAAAATAATACCACCCAAAAATTTCTACAGGTGTTTCTGTAAGTTGTGGCATAATTTCAATCATAAATTCTAGAGTAAAAATGATGACGATTCGTGTAAAAATGTTTGGTCTAAACCCATAAATGGTCGTTCAAAGTTAAGAAATTTTGATACATTTTCTTAAATATGGTTTGTTTTAGAAAGATAAAATTTGGCAGAAGTGCAACGTTATCATGAGAAATCGTTTAAGATCACTTTTGAAAATATGTAACCACGGGAACAATGCTATACAGGGTGTTCACAAAGGTTATTTTCTTAAAACTTTTGTATTATGTCGTAAACCCTTAAATTTTTCAACTGATTTACAAAAACCCTATTTCTTTATAAAATTATTTTCACTCCTAGAGGTTTTTGATTAGACGTATCGTTTTGGAGTTATTCGCAAAAATAAATAAATAAAAACTCGTTTTTGAAATACTGCTATTAGTCGTAGGCCCATGAAAACAAATCGTAAGAAAAGCAATATGTCGGGTTATTATCCAACGCAGCGTAAAATCTGGATTTTGTTTAGTCCAATATTGAGCATTTCTCCAATTAATGATCATCAGTAAAAAGCACTTTTTCTAAAATCGCAGCATCAATAGTACATTTTCCCATAATAGTAGACAAAACTGTACTCGCAACAAACGATCAGCAATATTTAATTCTTGTCTCTTATACAATTACTGTTCGTGTGGGACATCTTTTTATACAACAAATTAGATCAATGAACAAATGAACAATAAACTTTTTAACTGCCTGTGTAAGTACCTATAATGAAATTAATGAAACATATCGTCATATTTCGTATCATCCCAAGAGTAACCGTTGATGGAATTAAATAAGTATCTTCTTTGAAATATTGTGAGAAAATTATAAAATTGTTTACATTTTAGATAGTAGAAATAGAAAATAATAAAATAATAGTAATTAATAACTTCAAAAACAATATGCTGGCTATAATTATTCCTGTGTGTTAAAAACAATATTTGATGGAATATTGTTTTAATTAATATACCCATTTATTTATTGAACATACTTTGCATAAGCCTTTTCAAGTAATCCTGCCCAAAAATAATCGGAATGTTGGCTTTGTAGGAAAGCTAATCGTCCATGAACGGTGGGCAATCGGTCATCGACAAGAACTTCTGTCCATTCACCACACCACCACAATCTAAATCGGAATACGCCCGCGTATTGTTCTCCATTAAAAGATTGATCTGCGGGAACTACTCGGTAGAATAATCCTTTGTTTAAGAATAAGACGCCCAAACAAGATACCAACCATCGATCACCTAAAATCAAGATAGATAAATTAGATAAAATTGAATTATTAAATTATGTAACATTTTGGTTTTAATAACATAAAACATGAACAAAAATGATCCATTTACAACTTGTTTCAAATTCTTGAAAATGGTTAGTTATTCTGGGAGTATAATTTCTTGCCAAACAAGCTCAGGTTTTTTATTAGTCAAGGTCGCATTCTCGGTCACCAACCAGATGCTGTTAATTGCCTTCTTACACATATGCTTATACTTAAACTTTTATCTGTCATTCCCATCTTTTCTTTAATTTTTTTAATAGAAAAATTTAACTTGTTCTTTCACACAAACACCAAATCAAAACTATTTTATAACCTTACTCATTTTATTTAAAATGTTGTTTTTGTTTAGTATAATATAACTTAGATTCTTTAAAGCATAGTTCAGTAACATTATAATGATACTTAAAACGTTAACGATCGTTTCCACCCGTTTCAAATTCTTGATATACGCAGATTTCTGAATAGAATTCCAGCTCAATAGCGCAGAAACCCCGCTATTTATCTAAAGATTTTTGCGGTTCTGATCGGCCACAAGCGCATAATAGGCAATAAATAATCCCAAGGTTCCCATTGAGCTCGTTTCGTGGAGCAATCAATTTATAAAAGGAGTCGCTCTCGTTGTTTATTTGTCCCACCGTTCTGCATTTATTCAATAATAACGTCTCGACGCTCAGAGCAACGAGTAAATCATTAAATACCCTTTAAGCTCTCTCCACAACGTATATTACTATTTACTAAAGAGGTAGGGTAGAAGAAATTAAAAAAAGTTTTACGTTGCAAAAACGTTACTGTATCGATATAAATAATGTGCCTTGTCTGCTTAAAACCGGAATATATAATTACTAAGAACAGCAAAACATTTAACTTTAATTTATAAGTCGTGAGTTTAGCGATAGAAGAAGAGTGAAGACAAAGCATCGAATAATTTTTATTTTTTTGTATAATTGTCCGTTGTTTTACTCGTTAGGATTAAATTGAGGGGAAAATTACGTGTTATTATATTAATAGTACCAACTATAGTTGTACGACATCTGAAAGTTTTCTTTCTAATTCTAGATAGAATAAAAGCTTTTTATTAACATTAATTTGGGAGGACATTTCTCTTTAATATCGTTTTTAAAGTGATAGTGTTGAGTGCGGGGCTCAATACATATTTGTTCGCACGCCAGGCACGTTTTGTGCAGGAAATGCGTGTTTAAGTTTATACAGGATACAACAGGGCGTGACTTTACGTACGTATAAGTAATATAAATGTGAGTATTCCCGTGCTAACACGTACAGATTTGAGATATTTAAAACAAAATATTTCTCATCTATTTGAAGAAGAAAAAACTTGGTTTTAAAATTCCTCAAATAGGATAAATAAAGTATTTTGTCTTTTTTATGTAAAATATGATGTGGGTAAAAGTAAAAACTTTTTGAGAAATACTAAGGTAACATATGTTACCTTCCAAGATTTTAACTATATTATTGAATTTTTTGATTTTGTTAAATTAATTTTTTGTTTGTAAATTAAGCTGAAAGACATTTAGATCCATTCCTAAACCCCACCTACTAACAAAACATTTTTCCATTATATTGTATAATATTCTAAGTACTGAAGATGAAACATTAGTTTCGAAACATGTCTGCTTGAATTGAATTAAACATTTTAGTATTTCTCAAAAAGTTTTTACTTTTACCTACATCATATTTTATTATATTTATTAGAGAAATATGGAGAATTTTATCCCATTCTTTTTTATGTATTATATATTATGCTATATATAAATGTCTTATTTTTTTAGCTGCTACATATATATGAGACACTCAGAAGCTGGACAAAAATAAAAATTAGTTTTAATTTTTTTAACCGATTTAAAAATGATATTGTATAAACTTTTACTATTAAATTCTAAAGACGGATGTGTTATTTAAATTTGAAACCAACTTCTTTTCTATTTTCTTTATCCATTATAAACTAACATTTTAATGTTTGGTATAATTTACTATTCTCACATGATTAGATCGAACATTGGAGGCTGCTTATATAAAAGAATGTAACATAAGTGATTAAAACACTATATGTATAAATTATTTGGCTCCCAATTTTATATTCTTTATTATTTTTCCATTCGGTAGCATATTTTATGTACATTTCATTTCACGATTAATTATGTCTTCATAAGTATGACTGTGACTATTAAAAGAATGCATGTTCGTGTTGAACTTTAGCTATTTCTGCATCGTTACACAGACATTTTTCGCGTGTTAGAATTAAGGAGTTTCTTTCTTTTAAACTGAAATTGCATTTCATTGTAGAAACTTGTAAATCTATTCTAATTGTAAGTTTTTAAATCTTATACCTAAGTTAATGAACTTGACATACAGTCACCATTAAAAGTTGGGTGTTGTATCGTTTAACAACACCCAAAAGAGAGTCTATTTCAAATGCTTAACCTGATCAAAAATTAATACACTGAATTCTATTTTTAGTTTCATTAAAAAAAAAAAAAGTTTTCATTGAACTGTTAAAAGTAGATAAAAAATCATTATTTAGTGAAACAAAAACGAAAGTTAATTTTTAATTGCTATCACTCTTTGATGCGTTTTGTTTCTCAAGCTGTGCTGTCGTTTTAGTGGTTCTAATTACAAATTCTGTCATCGAACATTGTGTTCCATAAGGCTGTTATACAATTCACGATAACTGCCCATTAATAATTTAATGTCTCGTTGAAATTTGGTAGATCTCTCCTCGATAGGATCATGCTTCTGAAAATGATCGCCTAATTTACGAACCAGTTGTAGTCACTTTCACTGCATTCTTTAACATCGGGAATCTCAATCGCTAAACTAATGATTTCGTCATCGCATATAGACCAAATAAATTCATGAAAAATGATATTTTTCAATTATCTGTAACGGTTTTAATTTTTAACCATTTTTGATGAAATTTGGTATATGCCCATTTCAAAAGGCGCTTAATGCAGTGGTGTACTCAGATTTTTTGTAAAAAATTTCCTAATATGATTTCTTCATTTTTTGCACCTAAAAAGTGAAATAGTAGGCCTTGGTTTTTTTAAGAAAAACATGACTCTTTGTCCTGAGGTACAGTTTTTTACGCTCTACAATTCAAAAATTTATCGAAATCGGATAATAAATACAAATTTTACGAGGGCGTTCCGCTTTCAAATGGGTCACACTGTATGTAGAATATCAAGTAAAAGAGCTACAATAAACTAGAGTACCTTTGAAAAGAGGGCCTGACCTTGAAATTGAACACAAACTGTTATTTACTATGATTCATGGGGCAATATGCAATGCCGCAACTAAGACAGCATCTACAATACTTGTATGGGCTAACTTCAAAAAGCTATCAAAGAGGAAAGATGTGAACCCAGAATCACTATCATTGGGAATATCCGTCCTTCATGCAAAAATACGGTTGTTTGAGTCAATCCTTCACTTGTCATACAAGCTTCCAATTAGAAAGTGGCAAGCAATATCTGGAGAAGATAAAAAGACTATAGCCGAGACAGAAAAACTAATTCAAGAGAAATGCAGGCAGGAGATGGGTCTCTTAGTAGATATTCCAAAAGCTGGTGTTGGATACTAATTGAATACTAATGACGGAAATTCGGCTAGCATTACTGGAGTTGACGAAACCTTAATTTACAGATTGAAAATTATATTGTATTTATTTGTATTATATTGTATTATATTTATATAATTTATATAATATGGTGCTCAAATTATTTCGCATGCCTTATTGCCGATCAGGCAACTATCAGAGGAGGCTGATAGTTGCCTGGACATATAGGCAAGGATTCACAACAAAATTTTCCCCGCAGAGGCGTGTAATAGAGATGTTATACTGAATAGCACAAGCCTACGATGAGAAACTGAAATGAATTGGATTAAAAAAAATTTTCCTGTACGTGTCTTTCTTAAAAACTGTTGTTTTCCTCGAAAGATCAAATTTCTCAGGATAGCAAAACTGGTGGGTACATGTTGTAGACGTTAAGCAGACAGGAATGTTATCTACAAGAGGTTAGTCACAAATTTCAGGTGAAATACACAGTATTCACAAAGAATGGGCTTACTGTTTACGTGTGCAAACAGGTTTTCATGCATTTAACTTGATTGAAAAACAACCAACTTAAAAACAATATTTGCAAACTTGTGCAATTTGGAAAGAATATAAAAGAAAAACGAACAGGTGATTAAATTAGCAAAAAGAAATAAAAACTGTTTGCTCCCAACTAACATTTCAAAAAATAAATGCACAATTCTCTTAAAAACACGAGATGAATTAATGCTGCAAAGGAGAATACAAAAGATGAAAGCTGAAAGCTTTTACGATCAACTTGAAGAATTTCACTTTAACAATGAGTGTTCAAGTAAGATTGTCTTCCAAGTTTCAAGGAACCATAAGGACAATGCAATAGATTACGTAATAATAAACAGAGTAATAATATGGACAGGAACGAATATTGTATGAATCCTTAACATGCGCCAACATAGAATCGGACTACAATCCAGTGTTAGGAGAAATAACAATGAAAAGATCATGAATCTAAACAAATCTACATAAAAATCTCTTAAAAAATACAATATTAAATCTAAAAATTGAGATTACAAGGGACCTATATGTCAGTGTCTTGTTCAAAAAATTAGGTATACCCTAATGCAGCAGCAATGCACAGTAAATAATGCATGGAAGGTCTCAAAAACCATAAATTGTACATATAATACATAAGGATCGTCAATACTAATACTCCCTATAGGAACGAAAAACTTTTGTTCACACCAGAGCTAAAACTACTATAACTAAAACTACTAGTCCAAGAAACAAAGAAAGCCCACTTACTGTATAAATCCAAGAAGAGGCCAAGAAACTACATCAATTATATAAAAAATAAGAACAGAGGGAGTTAAATAGAGAACATTGGGAGGAGTTTAGAAAAGATATGGAAAAAGACCTAAGTA